AGGATCCCAGCAAGATAAGCATCCAATTTGCTCTTGAAGGTGTTCAATGTAGGTGCTTGAACCACCTCCGATGGCCACCTCCAATTCTGAAGTTGACTACGACTCCGAGATTGCAGTTGTGTTACTTAGAGTGGTACTTCCCGGGCTGTAGGAGTGTTGGTGATTCTTCCTCCCCAGGTGCAACACATGACACCTATCCTTGTTAAACTGCATCCTACTCTGTTTGGCCCATTTCTCCATCCTGTCCAAATCAGCCTGGATTCTCTCCCTGCCATCTAGTTTGTGTACCTCCCCCCATAGTTTGGTGTCATCAGCAAACTTGGACAGGGTGCTTTCTACTCCCTCATCCAAGTCACTAATGAAGATATTGAATAGTACCAGTCCCAGGACAGAGCCTTGAGGGACTCTGCTGCCTACATTTCTCCAGGTAGAAACCGACCCATCCACCACTGCTCCCTGGGTGTGTCCCATAAGTCAATTTTCTACCCACTGGACTGTGTAATAATTTACATTGCAACTGCTTAGTTAATTTATAAGAATTGGGTGTGACACTGTGTCAAAAGCTTTTTTAAAATCTAAGTAAATAACATCTACCTCTATTCCTTCATCCAAGCATTTTGTGACCTGGTCATAAAATGAAACCAGGATCTGCCTGCTATGAACCCATGCTGATGGCCCCTTAGCATCATTTTACCCACTGGTCCCTCACAAATGTGATCCTTAACAATTTTCTCGAAGGTCTTGCAAAGGATAAAGGTGAGACTAACCAGCCTATAGTTACCCGGTTCCTTCTTTCTCCCCTTCTTGAAATAGGGACCACATTGGCCCTTCGATCCTCCAGGACCTGTCCTGAGTGCCATGAGTGCTCAAACAGTTGTACCAGTGGCTCCACTATGACTCCAGCTAATTCCCTAAGTACCCTAGCCTTCAGAACACCTTACTTGTTTCCAGTGAAGCAAGAGTGGCTTTTATATTTTAATAGAAAGAATGAGAAAGTATTCTATCTATTGCAGGGATGAAATACTCTGCACACCTTGTTTTTCAGACTATAAAACTGATAGAAATGTTGTGATAAGAAAAAGGCCACAACAGACCACCAGGAGGTGGGCAAAAAAGCAAACAATCACAATTCCAGCTGTGAGCACACAAGCGTTTCAGGGGCAAGAGGCCATTTCATGTGTTTTTTCACCAAAGAAAGCAAGTTAAATTCCAGACAAACCTTCATTTTCCAGCTGAGCAATAAACAAACAAACTAGAGGATCTTTTGTGATACTTAGTAGGGTGTACGAAGCGGCCCCCCTTTGATTTGGATCCTGCCCAAATTGGGGACAGTGATTTGATTCCTCGATTCGGATCACTGTCCCTGATTCAATTCAGCTGAATCCTAACCTGAAGATTCACTGCTGATTTGGAGAATCAGCAATTTGGCCATAGACACAGGTTTAAATGTTTTTTCTACATACCTTGAGGTATCAGGCACAGTTCATGAATGCTGCGATGCTGGGGCAGATGGAGCATCCCACAAGAGTGCAGGGGGAGCCCCCCACATTCTCGGCAGTGAATTCAGAAGTGGACTGGAAGTACTTCAATTCAATTCAGAGAGATTAAAGGGTCCCCTGATTTGATTTGGATTCAGAGATTTGGCCACTGAATCAGGCCAAATCTTCACCGAATAGAATCAGGGACCGAAGCTTCGCAAGCCCTAATACTTAGCGACAGGGCAATTGATGTCCTGGTGCAATTATTAGGCCCCCTCATGAGGTATAATTTAATATTAATGTGCTAGTTTGGAACTACTGAAGTTGTACTAGATTGATAATTAGTCTGAAATGTGCTATATTTTAAGTTTGTTTTTGGCTTTTACTTTTTTTATAATAATTCAATGTTGCTTGTTATTGAATTTACTGTTAAATAAATATAAAAATTTTAAAGTAAATATATGTAAAGAAATAACCAAGAGCAAATATGTGAGATAATCATAAATGTAGGAGGGCCCAGAGCCTAGACAAATAGCAAAGTGCCTTTCAAAACGCTTGCTTCACCACTTCTTCCTTCCTTCCACTTTCCTCCTCAGTTTCTATACTGCCTGGGTTGCATACAGGTTTTTTTCTTGAAAAAAGCCACCATTGCCATCAGCATTTTTAAATAGCTCTGTAACCAGTACAGAGATTTAATATTTCTTACCAATGAAGAGCAGGCAGCCAATGTAGAAGGCAGCACTTATTGGTGGATAATAAAATGTGTAAAGTAGGAACACCAGGCAGATCAGGTCAAGAAAGCGCTCCTTCTGCTCCATAGTTTAAAGCTGAAGAAGCTGGCACGCACCATCACTCTATGCACATACCTCTGTGCTCATCTTCCTTAGTTTTCCCAACTGGCATTCTTTCTTTCTTTCATTTCACCATTCCACTCTCTCTCCCTCAACTTGCTAGCACCCAGTTATTTATTCCTCCACCCACTCATTCACCCAATCAAACACTTCCTTTATGTATATTTTTCT